AAAGGGCCTTAGTTGGACCAAGTCTACCCCAGATAATCTGGGAGCCTCAGCGAACGGATCTTCATGCAGACGCGTCCTCGTTGTTGTTCGCGGCGTCTGGGCCGCGGGGGGCCGTCAGAAAGCGATCCGGGGTGGAGACTTCGTCCCGGCGGAGGGCCCCGAGGTCCAGGACCCGTGCCCATCGTGACCCGTCCGTGTCACGCCCAGGCGTGGGCCCCCGAGGTCCAGGGCCCCGAGGCTTGGGTCCCCGAGGTCCTGGCGGAGGGCCCCGAGGTCCAGGGCCCCAGGACCCCAGGACCCGTGTCCGATCCAGGAGGCGCGGGCCCCCGAGGGGCCACCCGACGCCCGAGGGGGAGGAGGAGGAGGAGGAGGAGGAGGAGGAGGAGGAGGAGGAGGAGGAGGAGGAGGACCAAGACCAAGACCAAGTGACGCAGGGTACCAATCAGGTCAGAGAGATGGGGGCACAAAATCGGGGATGCCTTAAACGGCCGAAAATGGTACCTACGTGGGGCTACGCACCCAAGCAAATCCAAAGAACTCTGAGGGGGGCCCCTGCTGGGAGGAGTCGCCCCCGCTGGCCCCGAAGGCGGGCCCCTATAGCGCGGATGTCCACGCAGGGGTTGCCTGCGGGCACCAGCCTCATACTACACTCGCTTTCTCGAATTCTTGACCCCCCGAGCTTTTGGCCGTGGTCGGGCCGACTCCCCCTTAGAAGCCGAAGCCCGTCCTTCCGCCTTGTCAGCCTCGGCGGCGGCCAATCTACGATCCTCCTCCTCCCCCTCCCCGACGACGGACGACCTACCCACCCACCCGTCCTCCCCCGCGGCACGGACGTCCTTGACGACGCCGCGCCTGACCAGCTGCGCCAGCCGCTCGCTGGTGGCAAGAGCGGGGGGGAGGTAGAGTCCAGGCGCCTGCGACTTCGCGCGGGCGGAGGCCTGCGGGCGAGGAGGAGGAGGAGCCGAAGGAGGAAGGGACCTGGCCCTCACATCGTTTTTTTCAGCCCTGATCCTCCACGTCCAAGCCTCGAACTGGATCCTGCACTCGTCGTTATAGTGGGTCGGCCAGCCGTACCGAGGATGAGGAAGGTGCTCTGGGTGAACTCCCAAATTTCGAAATGCATCATATCTAAAACCATCAGGTCCCATAGTCGAAGTTTCACTGCTGAACGATGATACTGCATGACTCGGCACCCTCGAAGAATGAATAGGCCCCGTAGAAGGTTGGCAACCTGGTGCAAACATCTGAGACGTACCAAAATCTGACTGCCCACCTCCATCATTCTCTGCGCTCACAGACGTGGAAATAGCACTGCATTCACAAGTAGCCGTCTTAGACTTCCCCCTCGAAGAATGAAAGGCCCCGCAGAATGGTTGGCTATGGTGCAACATCTGAGACGAGTCACAATCAGCGTTCCGAATTCGTGCTCTCTTAGACCGTGGTCGAAGATCTAGCGGCGCTTGCTCAGGAGGGCCTCGATCTGCCTTTCGAGCGGCCCCTTCGGAGCTGTGCCCACCAACTTCTCGGCCTTGTCCTCCGTGAGGATCTGATCCAGAATCTGGCGCAGCATGATGGCCCCCGCGTGCGAAGCATTCAGATGGAAGACCAGCTTGACTTTGCCCTTCATGCGCTTCGAGTGGTCCCCGCGCGGCTGCTTCACCGAGAAGTGGGTCACGTAGGACGAGATGTACACTGGATCCTTGTCTTGCACGTGCTGGTCCCAAAAGAGCCTCATCGCCTCGACTCCTGGGCCCGACGCTGCTTTCTTCGCCGCGTTCATGACGAGCCAGAAGACTGTGATGAAGGGAGGTCCGAGGCTGCTTAGGTCGGTCGTGTCGTCCTCCTTCTTTTTCTCCTTCAGGTTGGCGGCGCTGTTGCTGTAGAACTTGTTTGCGGCGATCCCTGACTTGGCGAGCCAATGTGTGTCGGGCACCAGGTATGTCTCCATCAGGCTGGCCTCGTGGGACGCGTTGGCGCGAGCGTTGGCGAGCGTGAGGCGGCCGATCGCGTCGATCAGATCCTGCTGCTTGCCGCGACCGCCTCCGCCACCGTCTGACCCCCGAGCGCGCTGGGACCTCGGCTCCTCTGCCGCCTCTTCCTCTCGTGGCCTCCGAACTCCGCACATCGCCATGGCCCACACGGGGCGCTCCTCGCCGAACAGATCCGCGTCGATGTCCATCGTGGGCATGATTGACCTGTTGAATACGCGGGCGGAACGGCAGGTGGGTGCAGGCGTGGTCCGAATACGAACTCAGCGAGGGTGAACTTGAACCACAAAGGCCACACACCACGGTCGAGGGCTCGATGAGGGGGCGCAACGTGTATGCCTTCTGAGAAAGACAGCGCCCATGAAGCAGCGCCCCGTGGAGATGTTTCTGGGCTGACTTCCGATCCCAAAAGACCTCGCGGCACGCCACGCACTGGTTGGTAACTGTCAGGACCTGCGACAACTTGGATACATGATGAACAAGTCGCAGGTGATTCACGAGGCCCTTGCGTGTCGAAAATGCCGCCCCACAGGGGCCCTCCTCGGAACTCCAGGGGCACACGTGGTCCAGGGATATGCTGAGGGCGCCTTCCTCAAGGTCCTCGGGGTCCACGATGCTGAGCCCAGGGGGAACCACCTCAACGTCGAAGTGCCTACTCCTCAAGAGCCCGACGTCCACTCTGACAAAGTCCTGGGAAACCTCGAAGTCGAACAGCCCCAAGATGCTCCCTCCCGCGCGAGCCCAACATGAGGCCGCCTCCTCACTCCAAACAACAAGCTCTTCCAAATCTTCCTGAAATTGCTTCGCCCATGGATTGGCGGAGGAGGAGGAGGAGGAGGAGGAGGAGGAGGGAGGAGGAGGAGGAGGAGGAGGAGGAGGAGGAGGGGGGGGCACCGTGGGGGCCGTCGCCCAGGGGCAGCGGCGGTGTCGGGCTCGAGGCCGGAGGGCACCAACTATACACCAACACCGATGCTGGGCCCAGGATCGCCCTGGGCCCAGGATCGGTGCATGTGCCTTCTTGCGCAAGGCAAGAGGGCGTATACACCGATCCTGGGCCCAGGGTGTTCCTGGCCAGGATCGGTGTTGGTGTATAGTTGGTGCCTTCCTAATCGGGGCTGGAGAATGTCGGACTCCTCCTTTGTGGGTTCTCAGCGGTTTCCCAGCTATACATCACTGGCGTACAGCCACTGCACACACCAGCGTTCGACACCGAACGCATACATCAAACTTGGTCCTGGCGAGAAGGAACAGACGCCAAGAAAACACATCAAGAACACACACCTATAAGCAGGCATCCGTGGACCGAACAACGGCCACGCTGCTTGGACACGGTCGGCACACGTTCTTGGCGTGCTCATTCCTGTCAGCGTTCTTCTTCTTCTCCCCAAATTCCAGTTGAACAAACAGCATGCACCAACACCATGCACCATGAACATCACATCACCAAAACGCACACACACACACACACACATCAAGAATATACTTTCAGAACATACATCAGAGGTTAGAGGGTGAGATCGCAGTGAAACGGAGACCCCCAACCAGGAAATCGGTTTCGGTTTCGTGTTCGTGTCGTGCGTGCGGGCGAGGCGAAGCTGCGCGTGATCCTCCTGTAGCTAGGCCGAAGTAAGAGCGAACGTCCGTTCCCGTCCGCCGGTGGCTGGGAGGTGTCCCAGTTGGGCCGGGCGGTGTCCTGGGTGTCCCGGGTGTCAGTAGGAGCGAATGTCCGTTTCCCGTCCGCCGGTGGCCGGGAGGTGTCCCAGTTGGGCCGGGCGGTGTCCGGGGTGTCCCGGGCGTCCCGGCGGTAACGCATGTCGTAAATTTCATAATTCATTTTTGTTGGCGATTGCGCCGGGCTTTCTTATTCAATCCAGCTTATCTTATCCAATCCATATTGTCCAATCCAATGCATCTCATATTATCCAACCCATCTTGTCCCATCTTATTTTATCCCACCCAATCCAATCCACCCAACCCAACCCAATCCATCAATTCATTTGTTTCTGCGCCTGCAGCGGGCCAATCCAATCCGATGTATCTCATCCAATCCATCTTGTCCAATCCAACTCATCTTATCTTATCCAATCCATACTATCCCATCCAATCCAATCCACCCAACCCAATCCATCAATTCATTTTTGTCGGCGCCTGCTGCGGGCTTCCTTGTCCAATCCAGCTTATCTTATCAAATCCATCTTGTCCAATCCAATGCATCTCATATTATCCAACCCATCTTGTCCCATCTTATTTTATCCCATCCAATCCAATCCACCCAACCCAATCCATCAATTCATTTTTGTCGGCGCCTGCTGCGGGCTTCCTTATCCAATCCAGCTTATCTTATCCAATCCATATTGTCCAATCCAATGCATCTCATATTATCCAACCCATCTTGTCCCATCTTATTTTATCCCACCCAATCAATCCACCCAACCCAATCCATCAATTCAATTATTTCTTCGCCTGCGGCGGGCCAATCCAATCCTATTTATCTGGTCCAATCCATCACTTCCAACCCAACCCAGAGAGAAAGAGAGAGATGATATCAAGGTGACAGGCTGGAGGTCAGTCACGGTGGGCATTTGATCTCAATCCCCCCCAACCTCCTTATCGCCCGCACTGCGGTCGTATAGGTATTGATATATTGAGCCTTGTGTGGGGATGACTTGAATCGAACAAAAGGGCGTTGTGTTTGTTGCTTGGTGTTTTACTGCACCATGAGGATATCTCCTCTGGAGGAGGAGGAAAAGGAAAAGGATCCGGATGAGTAAAATGAGAACGAGGAGCAGATGTTGAAACAAAGAGGAGCCAGAGGAGAACATAAGTGACGACAAGGAGGAGTAGGAGGAGCAGGAGGAGGAGGAGGAGGAGGAGAAGGAGAGGGGAGAGGAGGATTGCTGTGCAGAGGAGGAGCAGGAGGAGGGTATGGATCAGGATGAGGTGGCAGGAGGAGGAACAGGAGGAGCAACAAAAAGGAAGAGGAGGAGCTCCCCCCGGAACCGCCCGCGGCAGGAGGTGGTGTACTACTGCTACGACCACCCCGAGAGCCTCTTCCTGGCGCCCAGGGAGGGTGGGGAGGAAGGGGGAGTGAGGAAGAAGGGCAGAGGGGATGAGGAGAACAGGGGAGGAGGAGAGGAGGAGGAAGAGGAGGAGGAAGAGGAGGAGGAGGAGGAAGAGGAGGAGGAGGAAGAGGAAGAAGAGGAGCCGGAGGCGGGGAGGGGGACGGAGATCAGGGCAACGTTAGGAGGGGATAGGCTCAGGGGGGGGATGCTTCCATGTCGACGTTTCCCCCCTGAGCCGGTCCGCCCAAAAAGTTGCCCCTCAGGAGGAGGTGAGGTGGTGGAGGAAGAGGAGGAGGAGGAGGAGGAGGAGGAGGAGGAGGAGGAGGAGGAGGAGGGGGAGGAGGAGGAGGAGGAGGAGGAGGAGGAGGAGGAGGACGAGGACGAGGGCGAGGGCGCGGGCGAGGAGGAGCGAGGATCGAGGAGGCAGGAGGAGTGAGGAGGAGCGATGAGCGAGGAGCAGGGAGGAGGAGCGCGGAGGAACGAGGAGCATGGAGGAGGAGCAGCAGCAGCAGCAGGAGGAGGAGGAGGAGGAGGAGGACCAGAGCAAACCTTAGACGCATCAGCGATGTTGCAGTACACCCTCTCTCCGAGACGTTTGCCCCCGCCTCTGGACGTTTGCCCCCGCCTCTGGAGGGGGGGCGGGGTGCAGGTCCTCGAGGGCACCTTCGCCAACGTCGCCAAGCCCGACTGCGGTGGCGGTCTGTCGGCGGGGAGGGGGGCGGTCGTCGCCGTAGCCCTTGTCGTTTCCGTCATCGTTGTCGTTGTTGTCGTCGTCGGCGTCGGCGTCGGCGTCGGCGTCGGCGTCGTCGTCGTCGGCGTCGGCGTCGGCGTCGGCGTCGGCGTCGGCGTCGGCGTCGGCGGCGTCGGCGTCGGCGTCGGCGTCGGCGTCGGCGTCGGCGTCGGCGTCGGCGTCGGCGTCGTCGGCGTCGGCGTCGGCGTCGGCGTTGGCTTCGTCCGCTTCGTCGGCGTCGTCTCGCCGTTTCGTCGTCGTCGTTGTCGTTGTCGCCGTTGCCGTTGTCGTTATTGTTGCCGTTGTCGTTGACGTTGTCGCCCTCGTCCTAATCTTTGCCAACATCGCCAGTTCGAGGCTCGAGGCTCGAAGCTCAAGGGGGGAGGTTAGAGACCTGCCTGGGCTTCCAGGGGCGCCCTCGTGGCCGCGTCCTCGAAGTCCCGGCCAGAGCGCACCGCAGGAGTGTTCCAGCGACGTCGTCCTCGTTCTCGTCGCCCCTGTCGTTCTCGTTGCCTTACCCCTCCCCCCCCAAACCCTCGCCCTCCCACGCAGGAGTGTTCCAGCGACGTCGTCCTCGTTCTCGTCGCCCCTGTCGTTCTCGTTGCCTTACCCCTCCCCCCCCAAAACCCTCGCCCTCCCACGCAGGAGTGTTCCAGCGACGTCGTCCTCGTTCTCGTCGCCCCTGTCGTTCTCGTTGCCTTACCCCTCCCCCCCCAAAACCCTCGCCCTCCCTGGCTTCAAGATCTGCCCCGAGGTGTGTCTGTTGTGCTGTCCTCTCTTTCTCGCTGCCCCTCCTCCACCCTGTCGTCGTCCCCCTCCGCCCCGCCTCCCCCTGGCAATCTAGGGTTAAGTCGGGCTTGTCCCTCTACAGGAGCAATATTCAGAAATAGTAAAACATAGTCAGGGGACGATTTTTTTTGGCAATGTTTGACAATGTTGGTGTATTGCTGACTTTCCTTTACTTGTCGTCCAACATCCGGCTGTAGGGGGGCATGCCCGACCTTAATCTAGGGTGCTGTTGGCTGAGTTCGGAATTTCAAAACCTTTCGCCGAGAAGTGTCTGTTGTGTTGGTTTTGTCCTCGTCATCCCTCCTTCACCCTCTCGTCGATGTCGCCCTCGTACTCCGCCTCCCAATCCCTCGCATCATAGGCTCGTGTTCCCTGACTTCGAAACGCTGCCCCGACATGTGCTCGTTGCATTGTCCTCGTCCCCACCGTTCCTCAACCGTCTAGCTGTTGTCGTCGTCCTCCACCTTCGCCTTTCCCCAGTCGTCGACGACTTCGTCGTCGCTCTCGCCCACGTCCGTTCACGCTCGGCGCAGCTTCAAGCCCTCACGATGGCCACGAGCCCGATCCCGATCCCGATTCTCCTCGTCGTCCTCGCCCCCCTCCTCCCTCCTCGCCGCCCTCGGGGACCCAGTGGGCGACCGCGTGGGTGGGAGAGCCACCTCTCAACAGCGTGGGCTCCCGTGTGAGCTCCATCTCTCGGCGAGCAAGCAGGCCTTCGCAGTGCCATCCACCCAACGGGGTCCTAAGCAGCACCATCCCAGCATGAGCCTCGCCGCCCTCACCGCCCTCCCCTCCTTCCCGTGGCCCCCGTGCGGCTCGGTGACCAACAAAATGACATAAACTTTCTCTTGGCGGAGGGCCAGGCATGTGCAGCAAAGAGCATCGCGAGGCAGGCGAGACGAAGGAGGACTGAACTTTGGGACCTTCGACGGAGCTCCCTATGGGGCCACGGAACGTGTGAGAGGTGCGGCGAAATGGGTGCGGTGCCGCCGTGCGGACGCTGCCACTGGGACTTTCGGCGGAGCTCCCTACCAGCCACGAAGCGTGTGAGGGGTGAGCCTACATGGGTGCGGTGCCGCCATGCGGACGCTGACATTGGGACCTTCGGCGGAGCTCCTCATGTGGCCACGAAACGTGTGGGAGTTGTGCCGAAGTAGGTGCGGTGCCGCCACGCGGACGTTGCCATTGGGGCCTTCGGCGGAGCTCCATGATAGGGCCGCGAAACGTGTGAGGAGTGTAGCGAAGTGGGTGCGGTGCCGCCATGCGGACGCTGCCACTGGGACCTTCGGCGGAGCTCCCTACTGGCCATGAAGCGTGTGAGGGGTGAGCCGGCATGGGTGCGGTGCCGCCATGCGGACGCTGCCATTGGGACCTTCGGCGGAGCTCCTCATGTGGCCACGAAACGTGTGAGAATTGTGCCGAAGTAGGTGCGGTGCCGCCACACGGACGCTGCCATTGGGGCCTTCGGCGGAGCTCCCTGATAGGGCCACGAAACGTGTGAGAAGAGTGGCGAAATGGATGGGCGCGGTGCTGCCATAGGGGCGCTGCCGCTAGGGCCTTCGAAAGAGCTGTCTATGGGCCCGCGGAACGCATGAGGGTGTGCCGGAATTGGTGCGCATGCGGACGCTGCCACTAGGGCCTTCGGTCGAGCTCCATACGGGGCCACAAAATGTATGAGGGACGTGCCGGCATATCTTACGTGCGGATGGCAGAGGCAGGATAAGAGGAGAAGGGGGAGGAGGATAGGAGGAGGAAAGACGCGGGGCGTTGTCTCTTCAAGATGAGGACCCAGCACCAAACAATGCTTCGGAGCAAGTTTTCGGAGGTTTGCGCGGATGTTTCGGATCGGCGCTGGAGCCCCTTGGCGGTGCCTCCGGCACCGCCACTGTCGCGCTCCGCGCGCCAGAGAGGGGGGTCAAGCGCAGATCCAAACCCGCGCTGACCTCCGAAGGTTTATGGTTACGCCTTGTTTTTTTTTTTGTTTCTTCGATGCCGAAACATAATAATTGAAGTTCCGATTTCTTTACGAAAACACGAGGCTTAAGCACCCCCGAGGTTTGGCAAAAACCGAACGTTAAAACAACCCACAGACGAAACGTGTGAGGGGAGAGCCGAAATGTCTGCGGTGCCGCCATGCGGACGCTGCCACTGGGACAGTCGGCGGAGCTCTCTATAGGGCCACGAAACGTGTTAGAGGTGTACCGACATGCGTGCGGTGCCGCCATGCGGACGCTACCACAAGGGCACTCCGTCGATGCTCCAACCCCCCCGAGGCTTGACTCAGCATCCCCGAGGTTGAGCAACAACTTGAGGTTTGGAGTCCCGAGTTCCCACCAACGGCCACGCCCCCTGCCCCAGGCATCCGGCGGTTTTCGCGCGCGCGCGCCCGCAAGCTTGCGCCGCGGGGGCCGGGCGCAGGAGCTGCCGCCCTCCGTGGAGCGCCTCTTCCGCATCTCCGAGCAGTACGGCACCACCGCCGCCGGCAAGCAGGGCGGCCCGGCGCTCTACCCGTACCAGGCCTCGGGGCGCACGCAGCCCAGGCCCCCTCGCGATGTGCAAATGTCACGACGGAAGGTTTTTCGCTGTTTTCGGCCTCCAGGGGGGCCCCGGGACCGTCGAGAAGACCAACTCGCAGGATGAGAAACCGGTCCTGGGGCAGGGGGGTCCAGTCTTTGGGGGTCTACGCTGCGAGAAAAAGCACGACGTCGGGGTCTGGGAACGGCGGTCAGCGGTGCCGTGGACCCGGGTTATAGTCAACCCGCATAGGAAGGATGACCGATTTTCCAAGATTACCTTTGTATCTTTGCCCCATCGGCCCATCCTTGGCCACTTTCGCTGGCCGCGCCCCGCCCGCAGATTGTCGACATGGCCTTCCAAGGCCCTTGCATCCTTATCGTGCGTCCTTGTCAACCGCGGGAAGCAGGTAACACCCCCACCCTTCCGACGAAACAATAACGCACCCCACACCCTGAGGCGTTAGCCTGGCACTCTGAGGAGGAGGAGGAGGAGGAGGAGGAGGAGAACAGGGAGGACGAGGAGGAGCAGGAGGAGGAGGACAGGGAGGAGGAGGAGGGGGAGGAGGAGGAAGAAAGGAGGAGGAGGAGGAGGAGGAGCAGGGAGGAGCAGAGGAGCAGAGGAGCAGGGAGGAGGAGGAGAGGAGGAGGAGGAGGAGGAGGCGAAGGAGGAGGAGGAGGAGGAGGACAGGGAGGAGGGGAGAGGAGGAGGAGGAGGAGGAGGATGGTGGTGAGGAGGAGGAGGAGGAGGAGCAGGAGCAGGAGCAGGAGGAGGAGGCGGAGGAAGAGATGGAGAGGAGCAGGAAGGAGGAGGAGGGGGTGGAGGAGAGGAGGAGGAGGAGGAGGAGGAGGAGGACCAGGACTAGGGGGAGGAGGAGGACGAGGAGGAGGAGGAGGAGGAGGCTGGTCTCGGGGGGGGTCTAAATCTACTCGTCTGGGAGGGTTGTGACCCCCTTTCTATTGCTACGAAATTTGAAGTACTAGTGTGTCCTTGTGCGGTCCATCCACGGGCCCCGAGGCCGTCGGAAAATGGCACAGGAATAGCAGTTGCCCCCCGGGGAGTGCGAAGTTGGTCCTGGAAGAAGGTCCCAGGATCAGTTTGTGTTTTACGCCTTCTTTGGCTCCTTCTGAGGGAAGGCCCCAGGAACCAGGATCCATTCGTCCTCCTCGGGATGTGTCTTCATGCCAGGGTTCGAGCTAAACGGTGTTTTGGCGATTTCGTGGACCGTGTTCGTTTTGATTTCGTTTCGCGGCGAAGGCAGAACAAAGACAGAACGAAGGACAACGAAAACATAACGAAAACGAAAAGCACGGTTTCGCTCGAGCCCTGCCAGGGACCAGGATTCATTTGTCCCCATTGGGGTCTGTTTTCGTGGATGTTCATGCCAACGATGCGGCGGCGGGGTCATTGGTGTTGCTGCCGGCGGCGGCGGCGTCGGCGTCGAGGTCGCCGTGGTGGTTATGGTCGTCGTCCCCATGTCTCCAATTCTGGGGCCCCTCGTGGGGGGGCCAGGACCAAACGTAAATCCTGGACCAAGAACTACCTGGGGAAGGGGTCGGAACCTCCTGGGCCGCACATGGAAAAAAAACACGGCGGTCGCTGCGGCGGCGGGGTCGCAGGCTGCGACGGTGGCGGGGTCGTTGGCGTCGGCGGCGGCGGCGGCGCCGCCGTCGGCGGAGGAGGAGGAGAAGGAGGAGGAGGAGAAGGAGGCGAAGGAGGAACGCGTTGATCTGGATGTGTTCAGCATTTTGCTCGGGAGCGAAAGATGGACGTGCAGGAAGTTACATGAGTCCACGCTGGCATCACGCGGCAATGCCCGCGGATTGGGAGGCCGAGCTCATGTACGTGAGTGGGCGCTCTTTGCTGACTCGGGGCGAAGAGCTGGTCCTGGGGGAAGTCCCGTTGGTCGAGGACCCGGTTCCATCAGGACCTGTGTCCCCCATCACAGAGGAGCGGGCGGTTTTTGGTTGTCTCCGGCTTCCAGGGGGCCCCTGCTGGGCCTCGGGACTGTCATTGAAACAGCGCAGGACGAAGGACCGGCCTTGGGGAAGTGGTTCAGCCCTCGGAGGCCCACGCAACAGAAACATGGAGCAGCCAGATGTCTGGGAATGCCCGTCCGAGGATCCGTTCGGACTGCGACTGCGACTGCGACCCGCATTGCGCACCCTGTAGGTGCCGCGGGTTCGGGCCAAAGCTCCGAAAACTCGTGAAGCGTCAAGAAGCCTTTCGGAGGCCTTTCTGAGGTCACCCCGAAGGCCACCCCGAAGGCGAGCCGTTCGAAGGCGGCCGCCCGAGGGCCGTTGGAAGCCCCCCCCCCTGCCCGAAGGGCCGTTGGAAGGCCCCCTCCTGCCGGAAAGGCCGTTGGAAGGCCCGAGAGTCGGGTGTCTTCCTTCTGCCTTCCGGGGGGGCGCTCGGGCCGGCCGCCGCCGCCGCCCCCCGAGCTGTTCTCCTGCGGCGGCTACTTCGGCGAGGCCGAGCTGCTCTTGGAGAGCTGCCCGCGCCGGTCGTGCACGCGCTGCGAGTCGGCGGGGGGGCGGGGCATGTCTTCCGCCCTACTCCGTCATCCCTCCTCCGTCCTCCCTCCCTCATCCGTCCTCCTTTCCTCCCTCCCTCCCTCGCTCTCTCCTCCTCCTCCTCCTCCTCCTCCGCCTCCTCCATCTCGTCCTGCTCGTCGTCGTCCTCCTCCTCCTCCTCCTCCTCCTCCTCCTCCTCCTCCTCCTTCTCTTCCTCCGCCCTCCGCCCTCCGCCCCCCGCCCCCCGCCCCCCGCCCTCCGCCTGCTGCCCTCCTCCTCCCTCCTCCTCTTCCCTCCTCCTCCTCCTCCTCCTCCTCCTCCTCCTCCTCTCCTCCTCCTCCTCCTCCTCCTCCTCCTCCCTCCTCCTCCGCCTCCGCCCTCCGCCCTCCGCCCTCCACCCCCCGCCTCCGCCTCCTCCCTCCTCCTCCTCCTCCTCCTCCTCCTCCTCCTCCTCCTCCTGTTCCTCCTCCCCGTCCTCCTCCTCCGCCCTCCGTCCTCCACCTTCCGCCCTCTTCCTCCTCCTCCTCCTCCTCCTCCTCCTCCTCCTCCTCCTCCTCCTCCTCCTCCTCCTCCTCCTTCCGTAGCCATTTTGGCTGAAGCCGCATTCCCCGCTTTCTCCGCAGCCTTTTCGCCCATGGCCAGTGGCGTGCTGCTGTCGGCCCGGTGGCGACTGGGCCAACGTGGGCAGGGACGAGATGGCCGTACGGGATGAGGCCCCTGGAGCTGGCCTTGTGCAGCGCTCAGCCGCGGAGCGGCGCATGGCAAGGGCAGCGGCGGCGAGCGCTGCGGATGGGGCCACTCGGCGGCTGCAGGGGCAGCTGGTGCATGCCCTTGCCCAAGCCGAGACGCTGCGGGTTGAGCTGGGCGCGCTGCGGGGCGACGAAGTGTTCTTGCTGCTGGACTCTCAGATGCTGATGTGCCGCGTGCTGTGGTGGCGCGCCGCAGCCTCGTGGCCCACGAGTTCGGAGCGCCTGCTGCGCAGATGGCGGAGGCGAGCCAGGCCGAGCTCAACCGTCTTCAACGTCAAGGTGCTGGTGGACGGCGTCGTCGCAGGAGGCGCCCACCGCATGGCGCGGGCGTGGAGGACGGGGCTATCGGGGTTGCGCACCTGACCCTCGACTCGGCGGGAGGGGCCCTGCTCGTCGGATGCTGCCGCGGAGGCCGTCCCGGGGCTTGCTCTTGCACGTGTGGGGCCATGCGCGGCGACGTGCTCTACCTCTTGCCGCTGAAGAGTCGACGGATGTCTCGTGTGCTGGCAGCAGCGGCCATGATGAGGACGTGGGCGACGACTTCTCCGAGGTTGCTGCGGTTGCTGACGTTCGTGTTGGACACGTGCTCCGTGCTGACGCTCCTGTTTTCGTGCCGTGGAGGGCGATGGAATGCCCCGCGTTCGAGCGGGCCTTGGAAGCGCCCGTCGACGTTGCCATCATGAACGATGGGCCCCACGATGGCGAGGAGCAGCAGCGCATGGCGGCGGCTGAGTGTGCCGAGGCTGCCGCGGCGCCGAACTGGAAGGGTCGGTGTCGGGAGCTGCTGGAGAAGGCCGAGCGGGACGGCTGCCCCCTTGCTCCCCCGAGGTCATGGACCAGCTCCTCGGCCGCAGGTGACGCTGTTCTTCGGGGACTCGTCGTTCCTGCGCTGCGGCGTCTCCGAGGGCCACGTCACGGTCGGGGGGCCCGGGGCTGGTCGGGTCCAGCCTTGGCCCCCCGCGGCGCGCACGTGTGTGCGCATCCCTTCAATTCCCGCCATTATCCTCCTCCTCCTCCTCCTCCTCCTCCTTTTCCTCCTCCTCCTCCTCCTCCTCCCTCCTCCTCCTCCCTCCTCCTCCTCTCCTCCTCCTCCTCCTCCTCCTCCTCCTCCTCCTCCTCCTCCTCCTCCTCCTCCTCCCTCTCCTCCTCCTCCTCCTCCCTCCTCCTCCTCCTCCTCCTCCCTCCTCCTCCTCCTCCTCTCCTCCTCCTCCTCCTCCTCCTCCGTCCTCCTCCTCCTCCTCCTCCTCCTCCTCCTCCTCTCACACTCTTCCTCGTCCTCCTGCTCCTCGTCCTCCTGCTCCTCCTCCTCCTGCTCCTCCTCCTCCTCCTCCCTCCTCGTTCTCCTCGTTCTTCTCCTCCCTCCACCACCGCCACCTCATCCTCCTCCTCATCTTCCTCCCCCTCCTCCTTCTCCTCCTCGCGCTCCCTCCTTCCTCCCGCCTCCAAGAGAGCTATATCAGCAGAGGGTGCCCCAACCGCAGAGCGGCCACGCGAAGAAGGGGCCTTGGCGGCCAGGCGCGCAGGACACCTGTACACCAACGAACAAACAACTCCTCATCCTGCCCCTCCTTCTCTTCCTCTTCTCATTCCTTCTCTTCGTCCTCCTCGCCCTCCTCCTCCTCCTCCTCCTCCTCCTCCTCCTCCTCCTCCTCCTCCTTCCTCTTCCTCCTCCTCCTCCTCCTCCTCCTCCTCCTCCTCCTCCTCCTCCTCCTCCTCTTCCTCCTCCTCCTCCTCCTCCTCCTCCTCCTCCTCCTCATCCTCCTCCTCCTCCTCCTCCTCCCTCTCCTTTTCTCATCCTCCTCCTCCTGTCCTCCTCCTCTTCCTCCTCCTCCTCCTCCTCCTCCTCCTCCTCCTCCTCCTCCTCATGGAGTTATCATCTTTTGGTGCCTCCGACGCCTCCGTCCATTTCAGATGTCATCTTGTGGGCCAGCGAGGATTGCGCACAACCTGGGTGCCCATCTTACAGACCCCCGTGGACTTGTCTCGCCGCATCTACCCAGATGACACCAGCAAGACTCAGATCGCGACGGCTGCCAGGAGAGCGCAGTTCACGCTACAGCGCGCCCACGAGCACCTACAGCGCGCACTGGGCGCGGGCGGCTACTCGCACAATCCAGAGAGAAGCAGCGCCTCTCCGTCCTTCGTCGGCCCAGGATCGAAGGTGCACAACACCGATGGAGGATCGGCGCCGCTTCCTGGCCGGGTTCATTTTGATAACGTGGCTCTTGGGATCCAGGCGTCCATCGACGGGCGTGTCCAGGGGGAACTTCAGCGGCGCATTCTGGCGGCCCGACGGGGCTACTACTCCATGGGGCGATTCTGGAGCAAGAACAAGATTTGGAGGTTGACGAGGATCGCGTTCGGGGCGGTGGTCCGGGGAGCGACATTGTCGGGGGTGAGCACCATGACCACTTCAGAGGCCCAGGAGCGTAGATAGGACCAGGCCCTCGCGGGTCACACTCGGGCGATCTTGGGAGGGGCCGCGTGCCCGAAGATCGAGGCTGTCGATGAGCGCCGCTTTCCAGTCCGAAACGAAACAGGTCAACCAGTTCTGCGGCATTGGGCTCTCTCGGGTGAGGTCGCTCTCCGTCGTGCGGGTATTGTTCCGTCCGCTGTTGAGTTGCAAGATCGTGGAGTCTTGGCTGTTCTCATGCCCAGCGGACCTCAGAGCTTCGGCTGCGCGTTCGGGCCCTGTTCATGGATGGCGATCTTCGGTGGCAATTTCTGGCGCTCGACCCTGGGATCCTGAGAAAGGAGCCCAAGGCGGTCTGCGCGCCGCCGCCCCCGGGCCCCCACGGACCTCCCCCAGAAGATGATGTAGAGGATCCACGAGTGCAGAGGGGGTCGCCTGTGGGAGACCCTTCTGGACCCGCAAGGCCATGCTGGCGCGTCACGCTCCTCCAAGTGCGGGGGGCATTCCTGCCGCTCCATCCCCCGCGCTTTCACGGCCACCAACGAGTGCTTCGTCTGCCCCCGAGCGTTTCGAGCGAAACGCACTGCCCGGGAACATGCAGTCCAGGCGGTTGGTCCTGCGGGGCCGATTTCCAGCCTTCGCGACGCCCTTCCGCCGCCCCGTCCTGGGCCCCCCCGACCTGGCGCACCCCTGAGCCCCCTGCGCGCGATGTCCGTGATGGGGGGCATCTGCCTCGGATTCTGCCGTGGTGCGTCGGAGCCGCTCGCGGATCGAACTGCTCTTTGCAAGCATAGGCGAGGCCACTCTCCCAGGGCCCCGACTCAGCGCGACGTGTCGTCTTGGGCGGGAGGCACTGGCGGCAGCGGAGCGCTCCCTCTCGAACGGACCAGGAGGCCGCAGTGCCAGGCGGGGCCGCTCTGGCTCGGCCCGCGCCCCCCGCCGGCGCGGCGGTCGCCAGGGGCCGCCCGCGCGCGGGAGCAGTCAGCAGCCCGCGCCGCGGGCCGAGCAGCAGCCCGCGGGCGGCAGCGGCGGCCGGGCGGCCGTGCAGTCGGCAGTCGGCCGCTCGCGCGGGCTTCCAGCGGCTCGCTCTGGAGGGCCTTCCCGCGATTGACTCGCATATGGCAGCGCGCCTCGTGCCTCGCGAGAAAATCACGACGGGAGGTTTTTCGCTATTTTCGGCCTCCGGGGGCCCTCCCCGGGCCTCGGGACCGTCAAAAAACGACTCGGGACGAAAAACCGGTCCCGGGGAATGGGTCGAGACCTCGGGGGGTCGACGTCGTGAAAAAATCATGACGACTCGACCGCGCCTCTGGCGACGGCCGCGCTTGGCAATTCGCACAGTATTCGAATGCTGATGGCTGCGGCGTTCGCGACGGCGCTGATGGACGAGAGCAGCGCGGTCGCGAAAGCCGCGCCCCAGGCCGGCTGGGCCCGCGCTACCGAGGCTGCCAAGATGAGGGGGGCACGCGTGGTGGACAGCAACAACCCCGTGCCAGAGATGCAGATGGGCCCAGCGCGCGCAGATATTCCCGGCGTCGCGGAAAGCGGCAGAAGCTGGAGATTCGGTCGGAGTGAAGAGCGCGAAAGTTTAGGCCGATATCAAACAGCGCCTCGGCAGGTGCAGCGACGCGGGCGAGTTGGCGCTGCTGGTCAAGGGGGTCACGGTCTCAAGCTCCTTCGAGGAAGGCTCTGCGAAGATGGCATTCGCGCTCGGGGATCCCAGCGCGACGAAAGTCTCCCTCGCGCGCGCGGGGCAGCTCGGGGGCGAAGTCAAAGAAGGCATGGCGCCCAGGTCGC